TCTGCCTGTTTCAGTTCAGGATAATTTTTTTTATCATTATTATTTTTGGAACCAGAGTCTGCGCTCCAAAACCACAAAACAAAACATAACAAGATGCAACTTCCTGGCACTGACCAGCTGAAGAAATGTATGTTTCCAGACACACTGATGCAAGGAGGCCATTTGTTACTCTGACATGCTGTTTTACTGTGTGAGGACTCATCGATGCTGCAGAGGACTGATGGTCCGGCGCAGACAGACGGGAGGACGGATAATCAGCGGACCACAGATGCTCCGCTGTCCGCTCTCCCTCCAAACACAATCGCTTCACAGAGACAGGTTGTTTACAGCTCGGTGTGTCTGGCCGTGAGATATGAAGACAGTTTGTCTATTTAAGAGCTCGGCTCTCCGTGTGAGCGACACGCCGAGGCCGAGTCGGAGGAACAGAAGGAGTGTTTGCACACTCTTCCTGCATGAACCTGCCTCTTAAATTTGTCTTCAACAGATTAAAGCGATGCTGCGGGTTTTTGTTTCTGCCTGTTGTTCTTAAAGAAGTAAGAGATTCGGCCTCATGAATATTTAACACAAGCAAAACATCTGCAAATCTTTCCTCTGAGTCCTGACTGAAGTGATCGTTCATCTAAAATGGCCACAACTCAGCCAGTTTGACAGATACTGAGTTAAAACTTTGAGCGGTGGTAGCTGAGACCCGTTTGTTCCTCTCCGGGTCACRTGGAGCTGCTGCACTCTGCCTGAATGCTCTCAACTTCATCTCGTTCTGCTCCAGTCCAGCTCACAGTCAGAGCAGCTGAGTCTCAGTGACTGTCAGCTGTAAAATAAAATAAAAAAAGCAAYGGTCTGAGCGTCAGCTGAGAGCATCGTCCTGTGGAGGGAAAGCCAGGGTAACCTCACGCTGAGGTCCACTCGTTCGCCATCTCGCATGGATTTCTGTGTCAGGTGAGGCGTCAGAATCTGAGCCTGCTGTGCTAAWCAAGCAAAACTTTTCAAAACGATTGTCAAACTCTCAAAGTTTTCATCTTCTCACCCAGAAAATGACAGCGAGCCAACACACCTCTTCCCCCTCTATCAACTTGTACTGCTGCGTTCTCTGTCTAACTTTCTGTAGTTACAGCTGACTTAAAGGGAACATATCATGCAAAACAATTTTTTAGCCATTAAATACATTTTGTTGTGAACTTGGAGTCTCTGTGAGTGCAGAAAAGTTTAATTTAGTCTCTTCTGTTGCTGCAAACATATCTTTATATTCTGTTTGGGTCAGATTTTTCTGTTTTCACTATTTTCTGTTATGTTTCTTGAACCATTATGTCACAGATTTTGCAACAGAACTGAAAAATAAGGTCTGGACTAACTGTAGTTTGGTGGTCTTCATTCTCCTCTGGCTCTGGGTCAGACTCTGGCTCCAACATGTAAGACTGGATGGACAAGTCTTCTACTGTTCACATCTTTTAATTTATTTGTGATTAAAACATTTCTGCGCAGCTATATAGTCGTAAACCCCTCTATGAAACTAGAATGGACCGCTCTGGAAGCTGGAGGGGGGGCGGGATGTGAAGCGCCTCATTTAGATTTAAGGAGACAGCCTCAAAATGAGTTGATCTGAGACACACCCCATACACTGCAAAAACTGTCCATTTTACCAAGTTTTAAAACCTTATATCAGCCAAAAAGTCTTTTTCATCTTGTTTTGAGACTGATTTACTAAACAAGAACTGATTGTGTAAGAATAATCATCTTGTTTTCAGAATATGTAAGATTATTTGTCTGCTTAGTCTGAAAATTTGACTCAAATTAAGTCAAAAATTTCTGCCAATGGAGTAAGAAAATTTTTACTTGGTAAGATTCTTGAAATAAGAAAAAATGAGTCAAATCAAGTATTTCAAGAATCTTACCAAGTAAAATTTTCTTACTCCATTGGCAGAAATGTTTGACTTAATTTGAGTCAGATTGTCAGACTAACAAGACAAATAATCTTACATATTCTGAAAACAAGATTATTATTCTTACACAATCAGTTCTTGTTTAGTAAATCAGTCTCAAAACAAGATCAAAAAGACTTTTTGGCTGATATAAGATTTTAAAGCTTGGTGAGATGGACAGWTTTTGCAGTGTAAAAGGGGCGGGGCTTGTGGAGTTACAATAAGGAGGAATTAAGATCAAAGCATTGCAGTTCCACTTTATTTAGACCCCRTKAAGGATTAAATGTTTAAAAGAAGGATTTTTCTAAACTAAATCCAGTCGAGTCCTTCTGTTTGTGTCTTTCAGCCAGGTCTGGTTCTACTGTTCCTCTTGTTCAAAGGGAGTCATTTCTTCCCACTGTGGCCGCTGCGCTCCTCAGAGTGAAAGTGAAGACTAGAAATAAATGGACTGCAGCTGGATTTTAATCTGAACCTGAAAAAAGTTTATGATTTGAACTAGTTTTTCGAGTCCTGAGATGACTTCAGTCAGCATCAGACAGAAAACAGGCTGCAGGGCGTGCAGGRAAAATTAATAAAACACAATTCACGTTATTCACTTTGTTACTTTGGATGAATCTGCTCGACGTCAGCGTGTTTGACCTTGTTCTAAATGAGGATATTTCAGCTTTAAGACATCGAACTGTGGTGTAAATGTGCTGCGARAGACGCCGTCTCCCAGCTCACACTATTCCAGGTCATCAGTGGAATGAGTGGTTTCAGAGGAAATTATCAGCCGCAGTATTTAAAGGTTTACCTTTTAACAACCCCCCACCCCCCACCGTGATGCTTCAGCTGTTTTTATTTAAAACGGCAGACACGAGAAGAAAAATAATGATTCTAGTAAAYGTTCGCACAAGAAGACAAGAGGAGTGGGTGGAGCAGTTCTCTGTTCCAACATTTATTATGCACGGCTGCCTGGCAGGAGGGCAGAGTCCTGCTATGAATATGAGATAAGAAACACATAATCACAGTGTTCTTCTCCTATCACACACTCACACACACACACACACAAACACACACACACACACACACACACGATCAGTGCTTCTTCACACAGGAACACGCTCCCTCTGTCTCAGTCTTGCTTAATGAAGGAGAAACCGTCTCTGTTCTGCTCTTTTAGCCCGGAGGCCAATAACTCAGCGGCCCCACGCCTTTTTCTGTATCGTCACGTTAAAAACCGTCCCGACACCGAGGGTCTTATTGTCGTTAAGAAGGACCTTGACCCACTTTAACAATGGGATCAGGAGAAATACACGAACTGCAAGACAAGTAGATTTTTATGGAACCTTTATTTTGTGTGATTTAATCCTGAAGTTCTGGTCTGCACTCGATGTAAACCAGGGGGTTTTCAAACTGTGGGGTGCGTGTCACCTAGGGGGCGCAAGAGGTCTTGAGGTCGTGGTTCGCGTGTATGACTCTGAAGTTCTTGTGCAATCAGAAACAATTAAATTATTGTCTGACTTGCTTGTTAGCTCCAGTGTTAACATATAGGAAAAGGAAAAAAAGTTTTTTTTAATGATGAGTTGTTGTTTTTTTATGTTTCCATTAAAAAAGACACATTTTTTCCTCCATTTATGACAACTTATCCTTTTCTTTAAATGAGCAAAGTGAGGCTTTCATAAAGTTTATGGATTTTCTCAGAGCTATCAGGGTTACACAGATGTTTATGGTCCCCAGAGCGGACAAAAAATAAAAAATACAATCCAATTTGTCCAGCAGCTCTGGGATGCTTGTGGTTTAATGGCTCACCGATGCTTTAAAGCTGTCAATTCTGGTGCAAATTTTGAAATACACCAAAGAATGAATT